ACAATCACACTCCATAATAATAATAATAAAAAGTAATAACCTGCCGCGTCCACTACTTTTAGAAAAGCATTCCAAACGAACAATAACACAGTATACGCAGTAGTGCTGCCAACCGACTGCATCAGAGAAAACATTGGGTGCAAGGCGCGCTTGAGCCGAGGTGGCGCGCCTTACCTGACGAGCGGTTCGGGTAAGCAAGCCCGCTTACACCGACGTGTGTGTGCTTCTATAAAGGCATTACTGCAGCAGCACCTTTGAAAGGTGTTATGGACCACCTTTTGTTGTGTGAATGTGCAGGTGAGCGACATTCACACACTTGCATTTCCAGTGTATTTTTTCCCGGCGCGACCGTTCCTGCGGTAGAGTGCAAGGTAGGGTACGTTTCCGTATGCAGAGGGATGGGATGAGGGATGTCTTGTCCTCCTCCGCCGACTACTGCTCGATACGAGTGCTGCATCCTTCCTTGGACCGAGTGGTGCAGCACTGCGGGGCGGGGGAAGCCACACCTCACTGCGGCAGTGACTCTGCTCTGGGATCATACAGTGCAGTACACTGCTCTGGGACCATACAGTGCAGTGCACTTGCTCTGCGCAGAGCTGCTGTGAGGGCGGCCGGAGCCAACCCTCCACCCTGCTGCGTCGCTCAACCCTCGAGGGTCGGACTCCTCCTCCCTCGCAGGGCCCTAACCCTGCACGCCGCCGCCGGGCCCTCCCCTCCCGCGAGCAGGGCAGGGGGCAAGACAGGACACCTTCTCCGACGGAGGCCGCCCCGCCCCGCCCCGCCTCGCCCTCCACGACAGCCTCTCAGCGGCGACGCACAAGAAGACGCGGAGGAGGGTGGCGCTGACGGGGCGCGTGCCCGGCGGAGGGGTGGTGGCGCCTCTCCGCAGTGGCGCCGGCGCCGCCACTGCCTCCCTCGCCGAACCGCCCTATCGTAAAAGTAAAGAAAAGTCTTGGCAGATCCGTCTCCCTCGCTACCACACACACACACACACACACAGCAGCGTGGGTAACAGGGTGCAAAAGAGACGGACGGCGGCACCGCGCGCGGAGGGGTGGAGCACCGCAGCAGCGCAAGGGCAAAAAAGTTTCCATGGTGGTACAGTCCGCTCCCAGAGCAGCAGCAACAGCAGCAACAGCAGCAACAGCAGCAGCAACAACAACAGCAACAACAACAACATACGCTCTGCGCGGCTTTGAGTGCGCCCCATGTTCATTTCCCATTCCCCGTACCACTCTCCCCCCTGTTTGCTCACTGTGGAGGGTAGCGGACTGTACTGTTCGCGCTGCGGTGGGGTGGGGCTGGGGGCTGGCCTTCATTGAGGTTTACCAACTCCCCTCGGCACAGGTGTTTGTCCCCTCGGCGGCGGTGGTGCCCGGCAGAGTCCACCGCCACGCCGCCGCCGCCACCAGCCAGTGCCGGCCCACGCACACACACACGCACAAGCGCTCACACTCTTTTCGCAAACAGAGCTCGGCGCATCGTATGGCCTGCGCGCTGCGCTGGTCGTCGGGGCTGCGATGCGACACAAGGCCACACACACACGACACGCTTTTGGTACACAGTTTGAAGAGTGATCGAGACATTGAGGGTCCCTCTCTTGAGCGGAAGTGAGCCGAACAGAAACACGCTTCAAGCGAGTACCTCTCGGCCTGGGCATGAGAAAGCGGCGGCTCCAGCCCGTTATCGGGTGTTTTTCACACCGCGACGTTTCGCCAGTAGAGATGGCTGCTCATACGTAGCGCATCCAGCCGTTGTTTCTGTTTCCGTTTAACGTTCTTTCATTTCCGCCACAGAGAGTATATAATACACCATGCAGTGCAGTACACTGCAAGTTAAGAGCCCAAGCGACAAAATAAGAAGAAGAGAACACCGAAATTACTTTTTGACGTTTTCTAATGAGTCTGTATTATTTCTTTCCACTGTGTGTGCGCAGCCTCTCCCGGCCTCTCCTCTCCTGGGTCGGGCTGAAATGGAATGGGCGGTATCCGGACCGGCCCGCGAGCCGCCCAGACGCCCCGCTATGCTCCTCGAGACAGCGGCGGGGCGCGGCGGGGTACGGCGGGGCGCGGCGGGGCGCGGCGGGGCGCGGCGGGAGCGGTGTTCCGGCCGGCATCTTCGGAATATGTCCTTCCCTGTCGCTCCCGTTGCTTCGCGCCGCCGCATGGCCCGAGTGCGAGAGAGAGGGAGAGACCGGGGGGA